AGATAGCACCCAGGTCCTGAGTTCAAACCTCAGGACTGGCACACACACACACAAAAAGCTTTCCATAAAGCTAGAACAGGTGCGCACTTTGAACCTTGATCCTTTCAATCTCAGCCTCCCAAGTAGCCAGGATTACATATACGAACCACTTGTGGCTTCCCTTGCACATCTTCTTCCGTAGTCCTTGTACTCTGGAAATACTAGGATTCTTTAGCCAACTCCCTTAACTCATGACATATAAGGGTAAATCTGATACTCTGTTCTATCTTTAAAAATAGTATACAAAGCCAGGTGCTGGTGGTTCACGCTGACATCTGAGGATCGTGGTTCAAAGCCAGCCCAGGCAAGAAAGCCCGTGAGACTCTTCTCTCCACTAAACCACCAGAAAACCTGAAGTGGCGCTGTGGCTCAAGAGGTAGATCTCTCATCTTGAGATGAAGAGCTCAGGGACAGTTCCCAGGCCTGGAGTTCAAGCCCCACGATAGACCTAAAAAAAAAAAAGTCTACAGATCAGAATCTGGAGCAGGGTGGGTAAGGCAGGCCCCTGCGTTATGCATCTGGCCTTCTGTCCTGACAGTGATTGAAGGTAGCACACAGGGGACATGATCCATGTTCCTTTGGTCACCAAGGCCTTGCATCCATCAATCTCAGCCTCTGTACTTTCCAAAAAGCGAGCTTGTCTCTGAGATGAATTTCCTCATGGGGAGGAGGGAGACGAGCTGGCTCCAGCTTGCCAGGAAAACACTGATCTCTTCTGTGTCGTCTGACTTACCCTGGCTTGGTCTCTGAGCCCAGAGCCGTGCCATAGTTCTGTCTTCTTGGCTGGGGACTGGGGGATGGGAATCCCACGGGCCCCCTGTGACTTTTGCTCACTAATGCCTCTGTCTCAGCACTTGGTGTGAGCGGCCAACCTGGCTCCAGAGAGAACCATTGTGTGCTTCTGTCCAGTGGAGAGAACAGAGCGGGGAATTCAGAGACGGCAGCTGGGGGACAGGCACGTGCTTGCTATTCATTGTGTCTCTCTGGGGTTCCCAGTGGAGCCTGGCTGCTAAATGAGCCTTCACTAGTGACGGAGGCAGCCCGGAGAAATGCTCCCAGGACTAGAATAAAAGGAGCTTCTTCCTAAGTGAGACTGCTGTGATTGAAGTCCTCTAGCCAAACTCCAACATTCAACACTGGATGAATACAGGATGTATAAACACGCCAGGTCTTGTCCAAGCTGTAGAAAGAGACTTGGTATGTAGCCCATGGCATTCTTTGCAGAATCTTTTTTTTTTTTTCCGGTCAGGTGTGGGGCTTGAACTCAGGGCCTGGGTGCTGTCCCTGAGCTCTTTTGCTCAAGGCTAGTGCTCTACCACTTTGAACTACAACATCACTTTCTGCTGGTTAACTGGAGATAAGAGTCTCATGGACTTTCCTGCCTGGGCTGGCATTGAACCATGATCTTCAGCTCTTAGTCTATTGGGTAGCTGGGATTACAGCTGTGAGCCACTGGTGCCCGGCTAGGAATATTTCCCAGTCAACTTCCATTGTCTGCAAAGTAGGGATAGACTTATTCTTTTGCCTTGGAAGTCATCAAAGGTCTTAATAGTTGGGAGTCATTAGATGGCTGGTTTCCTAAAATGCCAGTTCTGCCCCCAATATCCTCCAAATCCATAGAAACAAGGTGCTCTCCCAAAAAAGCCATTTGCATGTTCAATTTCTCTGCAGAAACTTTGCCTACATTCAGGACAGGTATCTCCGTGGTATGTTCTTTGTTTTGGAGGTACATAGGGCTTGAACTCAGGGCCTCAAGCTTGCTAGGCAGGCTCTCTGTCACTTGAACTATACCTCCAGCCCACACTAGTTGGGGCAAGGGCTCACTTGAGGCTTCCCTGGGTCATTGGGATGACAGGCACACTGCTCCCAGCGGTTGGTTGAGACAAAAACCTTGTGAACCACTTTTTGCCTGGGCTGGCCTCGAACCACAATGTCCCATCTCCACCTCCCAAGTGGCTAGGATTACAGGCTTGAGCCACTGCACCATGCAAGTTTTGATTCCATTTTTCACATTGACTGGGGTTGCTCAGTTCTGCATCTCCCCCCACCCCAAAGCAGCCAGAACTTTAGTAGGCAAGAGTGGGAATGCACACAGCGGCCAAGGGTTCACCCACAGCCTTTTGTGGTAATGATCTCTAAGAAAACATACTTTAGATATATTTTTACAATCAGCTGGCTTCTAAATTATAACCATGCTGAATAAGAGCAAAGAAAACATATGATTAGGGATTTCCTTATGCAGAAAGTAGAGCAAAATCATCTATTTTCTTTTTTCTTTTGCCAGTCCTGGGGCTTGAACTCAGCCTGGGCACTGTCCCCGAGCTTCTTTTGGCTCAGGGCTTGCACTCTACCAGTTGAGCCACAGCACCACTTCCAGCCTTTTCTGTTTATGCAGTACTGGGGAATCAAACCCAAGGCTTCGGGGATGCTAGGTAAGTACTCTACCACTGAGCCACATTCCCAGACCTTGAGCAAAATCATTTCTGGCTAAGGCCCAGAGCTTTTTTTTTTTTAACTTTTAAATCTGCTTTTAGTAAAGAATGAAAATGGAAAATTATAATTATTTCAAAGCCAAAGCATTGCATGGATTTCTTCCTGAGTAGTAATGAAAAAAGTAGCTCTAGGAGGAAGTAGGAAAGGAAAACTTGAAAAAGTATATACTTAGAGCTTTCTGCCCAGCTAGTCATGGTCACACATAGGCTGAGCCATCCCCCAGCACATCCCCATGGGCATAGAAAAAGGCGATCCTGGTAGCCATGGCTCCTAGCCTTCTGGAAATGATGACCCCAGGCCCTGAACGTGACAAGCCACATGCAAAGACTAGGCGGTAGCTCCAGCAATAGAAAAAGATGGCTTTGCTGACACATCCAAGGGGGTTCTGTAGTTCTGGTCCTGCCTCATTTGCTTGGAAAAGAAGCCAGGGAGAATGGAACAGATTCTCAGTGTGGATCCAGGGTCCTGTTTTTTTTTTTTTTTTAATACCTGAGATGTTTGCTTAGCAACAGATTTGCAGAACATGGAATTAGTCTCAGGGCAGAGTAAGGTATGAGCAACCTATAGGCTCCCTCAGGAAATTCTTACCTATCCTCTGAAGGGAAAGCACACAGAAAAGCAAAAAGAAAATGTGTGTGTGCGTGCATGCGTGCGTGCATGTGTGTGCTTGCATTGCAGTATTCAGGCTTCAACTTGGGGCTTGAAAGTTGTCCCTTAGCTTTTTTAGCTCAAGGTCGGTGCTCTACGACTTGAGCCATACTTCCACTTCTGGATTGTAGACTGGTTAATTGGAAATAAACCATCTTATGAACTTTCCTGCGTGGCTTGGCTTAGAACCTGAATCCTCCAGATCTCAGCCTCTTTAGTAGCTAGATTTATAGGCTTGAGCCACTGAAGCCCGGCTCAAAGGTATTTCAGTTTGCAGCAGGACCTGACCTTCTTTCCTCCCAATAAAATGAAAGGACTCTAGCATCTTAAAAAAAAAAAAAAAAAGCTATGGCAAAGTTGTTCATTTTTTTTTTTCCTGAGGGAAAGATAGCAATTTTCATTCCATTGGTAAGGCTTGCCATGTATCTGCAGTGGTTGAGTATTTTACAGCCAGGAGTAAACTAGTCCTCAGAGTATGGCAGCTTGTAGGAACAGGCTTAGCAGTTCATATATTTGTGGGTGCCTGCTAGATAGCGTGTTCCTGGAGAACTTCAGAAGCAGTGTTTGTCCCCTCAAGGTAAATGACAGGCTTAGCCATCAGTTTAGTCCCAGCGGCATGGGGCACCTTGTCAATTGAATTTTCTTAACTTCAACATCTCAAAGTTCCCCCTGTTGCATTCTTGTTATTTGGGGGATGGATTCTAGCCCCGAGCTGCCCTGCTTCTAAGGGCAAGGGTTTCTGGGAAATTGATCTGTCACCAAAAGGTTTGGCGTACCCTTCTGTAGGCTGGCCTGTCTTGGGGACCGTGTCTCCGGTCACAAGTCCATTTGTGGAGCAGCGTCCATCCATGAATCACACTGAGCCAATGGGGACCAGCGGGCTTGTGTACATAGTGTGTCAAGATCCCAAGATAGAAAGCATTCCAAGTGCCCAGTGTTATGAGAGTAAACAAGGCTGGGGCGAGCGTACTTACCCAAAGGTTAGATACATATTGTAGAAGACTTCACTCCAAGATAAAACAAGTAGCCACTTTCTTTTTTCAGAATTAAGAACCAGACATGTGAAAGGCAGTCTGTATGCAGAGGCCGGCATTCGCTTATCACGTGTTTAGCTCTCCGCATCCCTGTGCTAGGGATTGAACTCAGGGCCTTGCACATGCTAGACAAGCATTCTACTATTGAGCTCTACCCTCCCAGCCTTGTATTTATAATAAGAGTGCCTTTTCTTTCTCATGTGGCACAAAGAAAACCCCCCCGAGCAGCAAGCCACCTCTGAGACAGCCCCTCTTTAGCTCAGCAGGCATTTTGGGCCATTAAGAAACAGAAACAAGACACAGAACTTCTCCACACACTGCTCGCTCCTCTGCGTTGTTCGACCCATTCTTGATCTAAAAGAAATTGGGCTTGAAAAAAACAACTTGGACTAAAATTTAATCCAAACCCCACAGCTAGCAGATTTGTCCCCTGGCCCATTCTAGGAGAGCCATCAGCCATTTCAGGCCTTCCTGAATCACCAGCACTGTTTTAAATTCCTACCCCCTTTTTGTCTCTGGATAAAGCAGTTGTCCGTGGACAAACGGTGGAATCAACGTAAGGGGATCCCTGGCTATCTGACCAATGAGCAATGTGTTTAGTAAGACCTTACATTTCAGCCTCATGTCACCAGTCAAGACTGCTCAGGAAGAGCAGCCATCTCTGAGAGCAGCGGACCGAGCACCTGCCCGCTTCCCTCTCCCTATCCATCAGTGTTGGATGCTGTCGCTGTAAGTCAGTGGGACTGGACAGACAGCTAGCTGTCAGCTCCAAAGCAGGGACAAGGCCAAGAGCTTAATGGAGTTTTATTTTGAAAATATGGCAAGAGGCTAAGGCACTTCAAACATTTAAATACATACCGGACCCAAGTAAATGTGACACATTATAAAGGAATCCATAAATACATAGAGAACTATGCTGTTTCTCTAGCGGCAAATACAGAGCCAATTCTAACACAACCTTTATTAGACGGGGCTGTGCGATGGTTGAAAGTGTGATGTTACATGTAACTTCAGGAATTTCATCACTATGCAATATAAAAGTTGAAAATATGATGTCAACTTCATAGATATCTTTTGATATAAAAACCCATATAATACACCAACTGGAAATATTTCCCTGTGTTAGTTTATATGCTTTGAGGGTTCTATCTTTTCTATTTCTAAAACCAGATACTACCAGCCAGGGGCTGAAGTTGCAGATGATCAAAAGAATCATCTCAACTATCTTACTTTAAAAAAAAAAGAAAAAGAAAAGGAAAAAAAAAAGATCCAAATCACCCTGGAATGAAATTTTGGAAGTGTTTTCCAATGGGTTCCACATGGCGCAAATATAAATATCTGTGGAAACGTTTAACCAAAGAGAACCTGGTGACTTCTTTGTGTTGTAGGGGAGCCAGGGAGAAGGAAGAGAGGCTAGTTTGCGGATCTACCACTGTACATAACGGAGCAGAGTCAGAAGCCACAGATCGCGGATTCAAGCGGGCCCTGCACAGAGTAGACAGCCAGAGAGGAGGCTGGGTGTCCGGGTAGACATTCTCCTGCTTGCTCTGTTTCCCCTGGCAAAAAAGCCAGCTCAGGCCCAGGCCTTCATGCTTCTGTGTGCTGGTGAGCTCAGGCACAGCTCATAGACATTCAGTATCTGTCACCCCAACAGGAACAATTAGCAGCTTCGTGGAGGTGTGTACATGAGAGCTGTTTGCCATCTCATCAATCAAATGAGCCTCGGTGAGTTGGGCTGGGAGATGTCTTCCTTCCAAGCCTAGGAGTGCCCTAGAGACCAGGAGGAAAAAAAAAAAAGGCTAGTAAGTGACCTCGGGCAGCTATGGCATCTGTGACATTAGAATTTGGTCCACTATCGCTGATAACCACTATGGGGAGTCAGAGAGAGGAGAGCCCTGGCTGAGAATGCCAGGCAGGTGTCCATTACCAATGGCACTGCTCTGAGGCCAGCTGGACTCAGCAGGCCTTGTCCAGCTGTTAGCCCCTGGAAGCCAACATCCCACTCAAGAGAACTCAAACTGTCAAGTTTAGGAGCAATGCCAGGAAAATACGGGGATCCGGGGGTGTCAGCCTGTGCCATTTGGAGAAGTCTGGACAAAAAGCTGTGAGAGATAGCTTCTATCTCCCAAGGACACGGGGTCCAGCCTTCTCTGTGTTTCTTGGTGGAGGAAGTACATTTTTTGTTGTTGTTGTTGTGGGTCTTGAATTCTGGGCCTGGACACTGTCCCTCAGCTCTTCAGCTCAAGGCTAGCGCTCTACCACTTGAGCCACAGTGCCACTTCCAGTTTTCTGGTGGTTTATTGGAGATAAGAGTCT